CACAGGCATTAGTATACTAAAATAAATATAAAAAAATCAGACACATACACATTAACACACACTAGCACATATGTGTACTGGTTATGTTATCCAGGCTGTGAGGTTTTTAAACCAGAAACTGAGGACAGAAGGAAAGTTTTCACCCATTTCAAGGAAAGCCTCGTTTAAGCTTCACAACCCACAAATTGTTAGCTAGTTGATGGTTCTTATTCAGTACAGTCCCTGTCAGGAATATGTTCTTGTGCTGGTCACCCTGTAGCTGAATAACTTCTTCATCGTTGGATGTTCCATCACAGTTCCACTGTAGGCAAATTTCTTCTTAAACACCTTCATGGGTTTTTTTTTTTTTTATCACAATCCTCAATGATCCCTTGGAAAGTGCTAAGAGTCTTCCCATTGTTCCTGTGATGAATTATTACATGAATATGCAGACTTCTTGGTAGCAGTAGAAAGCAGGTTACCATCCTTAGTTGCAGCAGCAAAGGGGAGGAAAAGGTGGAGATTCATGATAACAGACATATGCCATGATGCCTTAACTTCAGTGGAAACAGCCTGTGGAAGGCAGGCGGGTGCTGCAGAAGTTTGGGGTAGGAGCAACAGAGTGTCAAGAAGCAAGGGAATGAGAGGAGCGGAATGACTCAGTGATAGGAACTGAGTCTCTTTCTTTTTCTTCTTTCCCTAGAATAGTGGGAACTGAATATTGGGTTGCATGTTAGGCAGAGGCTCTACCACTGAGCCACACCCCTAGCCTTCACTGGGAGATTCTAGGCAGGTACTCTACCACTGAGCCATGCCTCAGCCCCTCAGTGGTACATGACAGGCAAATGTTCTACTGCTGAGCTATAACCCCTGGCCTCTTTTGCTTTGTGTTGTATATCGTATGTATTTGTTTGTGTGGGTGTGTGCATGTGTGTGAGTGCCTGTGTGTCACGTTCAGAAGATAGGTGTCAGGGGTCTTCTACAGTTTCTGACCACCTTATTTTTTTTTTTAACTTTTAATTACACATTTAAGTATTTATATATGCATGTGAGTTTCAGGTATCTGAAGTCAGAGGTGTCAGATTCCCTGGAGTTGTAGATACAGCTGGTTGTGAGCTGCCAGAAATGTGCTCTTTTATCTATCTATCTATCTATCTATCTATCTATCTATCTATCTATCTAGCTATCTAGCTATCTAGCTATCTAGCTATCTAGCTATCTATCATCTATCTATACAGTGTTCTGCCTGCATGTGTGCCAGCAGACCAGAAGAGGGCACCAGATCTCCTTACAGATGATTATGAGCCACCATGTGGTTGCTGGGAATTGAATTCAGGACCTCATGAAGAGCAGTGCTCTTAAGCACTGAGCCATCTCTCCAGCCCCTGCATATGCTCTTAACTGCTGAGAGATGGCTCAGCAGTAAGCCCTGGGATGCACCTGTCTTTGTCTCTCTAGCTCTGCAATTTCAGATTTTGCTTCACTGGGACCAGCTTTCATATGAGTACTGGGAATCCCAGCTCACATCCTCACCCTCATGAGGCAAATGCTTCACTGACGGAGCTATTGTGATCTATCTCCAAGGTCTTCTTTTTATGTCTCATATTTGATCTCAGCCAAAAGCCTGAGATGCAATCTTTTTTTTTCTTTTAACTTTTTATTCTGGAACAACGTCTCAGATAACTTGCCCACTGTGTGGCTCAAGTTGTCCTTGATGTTTTGATTCTCCTGCCTTAGCCTCCCAAGTAACCAGGATACCAGGCTTGCACCACTAGCTTTTTTGTTAGGTCTTTATTAATCCCCATGTTAGTTCTCTGAATGCTATAATTATCTACATCTCAGATGAAGATGATGGTGAAGGGCCAGCTAGGAGGCTCAATGGACAAAGGTACTTTCTGCTAAGTGACAGAATCTATCCCCAAGACTCACATGGTGAAAGGAAAGAACATTCTAGGTCAACTTGGGTTACCTGATGAGTTCTGGGCTAACCTGGGCTACATGTGACCCTGTTTAAAAAAAATCTGCTTGAAGCAAATTGCTGGACACATTGCCAGAGTTTCTGAATCAGCAGGTCTGAGGATGAAACATCTGACAAGTTTCACATGTCTAACAAACTCTCAGATAACTCTCTGCTGCTAGTTTGAGCATCAAATTTTGAAAGACCACAAATTAGGAGAGTACACAGGCAACTCTCTCTTAGAGAAGCCCACATGTATGCTTTGGATTATCTTACTTTCTTCTGAGCTTGAGTATTTGTTTTTCTCTCAACTGTTATCATAAGTCTATATTAACATATCTTTATTAAAGTCCAACTCTGGAGAGGGCTGGAAGAATATGAATGCATGCAGGTGGCCAATGCAGTAGAGCAGTGAGGGAGTGGGGTGAGAGGTGCTGGGCTACAGGCCTGCATGAACCTTATCCCTAGCCTGTAGGCACCTGGCCAAGTGGGAAGTGGAGGCCGAAATCTTCCTCCTACTCTATTTGCTCGGTCCCAGTGCCCTGGCCCAGGCCTGCAACTCCTGAGGACTGCCTGTTTCTGCTGATGTGAACAAAGACACTGTATTTGTAACAGGAACTGAAAGAATCAGACATGTGGGTGACCATGCAGGAAAAACTGGAAGGTCTGAAACAAGAGAGAAAATGCTGTGTCTAAAAGAACCCTCTCATGCATGGATAAGCAAAATGGTGCATATTCATTCAATGGAATCTTATTTAGTCCTGTTCTTTGTGGTGCTGGGAACAAACTCAGGGTCTTAAACATGTTAGGTAAGATTTCTGGTACTAAGCCATGTCCACAGATTTTGTTGTTGTTTTAAATTGGGTGGCTGTCGATATAGTTCAGCAGTTAGGAGTGCTTACTGCTCTTACAGATGACACACACACACACATACACATAAATTAATTTTTAACAACTGACTATACATACACAGAGGACAACTTGTATAAGTCAGTTCTTTTCTTCTACCATGTGGGGGCCAGAATCAAAGCTTGATATGCTTGCCAAGCAAGCACTTTTACTAGCTTAGCCATCTCACTGTTTTTTGAGACAGAGACTCATGTAGTCCAAGTTGGCTTCAAACTCACTGTATAGTCAAGGAGGAAATCTTGACCTCTTGATCTTCCTGTATCCACCTCCCAAGTGCTGAGATTACAATTTTCAGTTTTACAAAGGAAAGAAATTGGGCCATTGAGCTGGATCAGTGGGTAAAGATCAAACGTGTGGTTTGACCTGTGGTTAAACTTGATGTCCTGATTTTGATTCCCGCTTTCTGTTTGGCAGAAATAGAACCAACTCCTGAAAGTTGTCTTCTGTCCTCCACATATAAACTGTGACACACACCACCACACACACTAAACCACAATAAATAAACGTAGCCAATATATATATAAATAAATATGAAAAATAAAATCGGGCATGGTAGTTCACACTTCTAATTCTGGCATTCTGGAGGTAGAGGCAGAGGATTATCCTTCGCTACATAGTGAGTTTGAGACTAACCTGGGCTACAAGAGACTCCATCTCAAAAAAGTTTAAAAGTATGTATGAAACGAATACAACTGGAATGTGAAATGCAGGAAAGGAATGTAGTATCACAAGCTCTAGAAATAGAAAATCAGCTTGTATGACTGGCACACTTAGCAAGATGAAGGACATAGGGGACAGAAAGGTGGAACAGGGTTAAGTTTAATAGCCACAGGAGTAGAATGTCGGTCTCCAAGTTCTAAATTAGCCAGTAAATAGCTGTAGAAATTAGGGCAAAGATATTGTCCATCCACGAATTTGGTACGGACAACAGCAACTTCTGCTTCATATATGCTTGCCTATGTCACCATTGTCACCTTTTTCCGAAGTTCAGTGAGGAGGGGTAGTCTCTATAATCTGTCCGTCCTACTTGCTTGCAAGGGCCAATCCTTCACCCGAACTGAAGCAACCTCTCATAACTTTCTTGGGAGGAGGGTACTTTAGGAGGTGGGGGGTGGCCAGAGAGATGGAAAAGAGGTTAATGGATACAGGCTAATTTTCTAGTGGACCTGGATTTCTGGCACCCACACGGTGGCTCACAAAAGTCTGAAACTACAGTTCTAAGGGATTCCACTTCGTCTTCTGGCCTCCGTGGTACTGCACGCACGTGGTGCACAGATTTTCACATGGAGGCAAAACCACCCATACACGTTACAACAAAATAAGCAGAAAAAAAAACAAAACACCAAAACCCAAAACCTTCTTCCCATTCTTTCCCATTAAGTAGGAAAACGAGGCTGTGGTTTGTCCAACGGGTTTATACAAGGACTGTTGGACAGGTAGTATTTTCCCTATTCACAAGAGGGGAAACTGAGGTCAGAGTGGGCGGTACTGGGTGAGCGAAATAATAGTACCCAGAGGTCGGCTTTCGTTCACCAGCCTCAGCCTTCCTTTAATCTAGTACTAGAGAGGCAGGGCGAAACTGCAACCGTTGTGAAGGATCTCCCACTGTTGTTTGTAAAAGAACTTTGGCCAGGCCATTTCGACCTCCTCTACTGGCGCTCGTAGGTACGGAGAGCCGAACTCCCAAAAGCGCTGCCTCCACTGGTTTCCACGACAACGAAACCACCTATTCCTCCAGTCCTTTCCCCAACACATCTGCGCATGCTTGAGGTCTGCCTGCGGGACGTCCTGTTGTGAGGGAGGGTAGGGGGAGGAAATACCACGTGAAATTGTGAAATCTGGGAAATGTAGTTCAAGATCAGAAACGCTCTGTTTGCACGGGTGTGGGCCAATAGGAAGCAGGTTTTGCTTTTTTACATTTTGAGAAGTATAGTTTTCGTGTTGGCAGATGGCCGGCTCGGGGCGCACGGGCGTATGGGGTCATCACAGTGAAGACCAATGGAAAGCAGCTTTTGCCGCTATGCTTCTTGGGAGATGTAGTTTCCAAGTGAAAGAAGCGGTGTTAGTAGAATTGGTGATTCCGAGTGTGGGGGTAAGGGGACGTGGGGGCGGGGAGGGACGGGTGAGTTTGGCGCAAAGCCTGCTGGGGCATGGAGTCCTGGTGAGCTTTGTGCGCATGTGCGGGAAGGTGAGGGTGTTTGGGGGGCCTCGCCCAGGAGAGTGAGGTGAGCTAGGGGGAAAGGGAGGGAGCGTGTACGGGGAACGGGCGGGCCACGGGGAGGGGTACCCAGGTCTGGAGAAGGGAAGGAGGGTTAGAGGGAGAGAGGGAGGGATGGGCGGCTTTGGGGGAGGGGGATGATAGAGGCTGGGGAAGGTGCGCTGGGGGCGGGAGAGGGAGCGGAGGGGACGCGAGGTGCAGACGCGGGAGAGTTGGAGGTCAGGGGAGGCTGGGTAGCAGAAGGGGCTGATCCGGCTGTTCGAGGTGGAGTCCTAGGGTAGCTGGAAACTGAGAGTTGGGTGTAAGTCCAACTCCATCGAGGAAGCCTGGGTCTCCGGGACCTCCAACTCCTTCGAAAAGGATTGCGGGAAGGAGTTCATTTAGGGGCACCGTGCCCTAGCAGCGTAGATGCATGCAGGTGGCTAGTCATGTGCGCTGTTCACAAGTTCACTTGCACTTCTGTCGAGTTGAGATTCCGGAGGATTAAGTATTTTCTTTATTAAAAGAGTATCCGCCTCATTAGCTTGTTGCGGGAGGCGAAATTCGTTAATGTGTAAAGGGGACTTGGAGACTGATTTTAATAGGATAAGATGGACTTACTCTTTAGGTTCTGATCCCCCTGGCCCAGCCTCTCAAGTGCTGAAATTACAAGCGTTGGCCCAGTGTTTTGTTTTAGTAGGGTCTCCTGTAGCCCAGGCTGGCATTAACCACACTCACTGAGTAGCCAGGCCAACCAAATCTTAAACTTCTGCTCTTGTCTTCATTCCGAGAAAGTGCTTGAATAAAAAGAAATAAACAAGACCTGTCTTCACCCCTTTTATATTCTATTTTAACACCTGTTCCAATTTATAAGTTAGTCTTGTGTGCTTATTTCACAGTGGCTTTAACTCCACACAAGGAGATTGAGGGTAAACTCGTGTTAATAGTAAACACAAGCTTTTTATTTTTTTTTAATGATTTATTTTTATTTTAACCTGATTGGTGTTTTGCCTGCATGTGTGTCTGTTGCATCCCCTAAAACAGGAGTTGCAGACAGTTGTGAACTGCCATGTGGGTGCTGGGAATTGAACCCAGGTGCTTTTGTGCTCTTTATTTTACTTAACTCTCCAGCCTGGATTCTTGCCCTCATTTTACAGCCAAGGAAATGGAAATAGTGTGTGAAAGGTGCAGTTGTTCTTTTACCAAGGACACATTCCGGCTGGTAGGCAGCCAGAATTTGCTCCAGTTCCATAGCTCTTGTTTTCTGGGCAAATATTTGTCGGAGTTGTATAGCTGAGTCCTCAGAGCAGAGTCCTGGCCCACTGAAGGAATATTGATGGAGTTAGAATGAACATCAGGATAGAGGTGTAGGGGAGTGAGGTGGAAGAAGGGGACACTGAAAATTACACACTTAATAAAAATAAAAAGCAAACCAAAAACAGATACTGGGGAAATGGCTCTGTGGGTAAAGTACAAGCTAAGGACCTGAATTTGGAGCAATACCCAGGTAAAGGTACACAAGAACACCTTGATATGTGCTTATTGGTTCTTCATCTCAGGTGAAACAGCAAGTTTCAGGTTCAGGAAGAGCTTCAGGCCTCCACAGACAATATGCACCCACCCCTCAGAAAATCAACAGCTTAGACAAGTTGAAAAGCAGGAAGATGGTCTGAGATTATTGGAGGGGGCAGAACTCCCTCTCTGCTCACAGTGGCTTGGACGTTGGGCAAGAAATCAGCTGTTCATTCTTTGAGGCCAACTTTTGTAGCATTTAGTTTAACCAGCTGTCAGTAAGAGTTCCTCCCTTTGACCTGGAACTCAGGTTGTGTCACTTAGAAAGATGAGTAACAAACTAGTGTCACTAATTTACATTTTAGTTTTGTAGGCTCTGTGTGGGGAAGGAATAGCTGTTTATCTCACCAGTCCCTGCTTTTCCTGTGGGGCAGTTTCAAGTTCTTGCTGTAGCTTCAGCTTCAGCCCTGCAATCAGTTACAAGCAGCCTGGGATCTTTTGTCACCCACTTCGAGGCTAGTGCTTAATTTATTTTTGATCTGGCCCCTGAAGGCCAGTGACAGAACAAGAGCTCAGCTTGGAGGTTTTCCATCTTAACATTCCCCAACCCCTCCCTTGACAGGATTTCTCTGTGTAACAAGCCCTGGCTGACCTGGACTCACTTTGTAGACCAGGCTGGCTTGGAACTCAGAGATCCGCCTGCCTCCCCTAGTGCAGGGATTACAGGTGTGTGCCACTGTGTCTTAACCTTTAACATAGGCCTCCTTTTGAATTTTCTACCCCCACCTCCACTTCATAAGGCCCAGCTGTGAAGGTCCACCCAAAGGCTACTGTCTAGGGCACTGCTTATGGGGGATATGAAGTACATGTCTCACTGATAGTTCCATTTTCTTACTTCATCCATAGGTGTGTCTTCTTTTTCCATCTGGCTTTTAGGCTGGCCACTTCAGGTCTTTTTTTTTTTTTTTTTTTTTTTTAATGTATATGAGCATTCTATCTGCATTTACATCTGCCAGAAGAGGCAATCAGTTCATATTATAGATGGTTGTGAGCCATCATGTGGTCGCTGAAATTGAACTCATGACCTTTGGAAGAGCAGACAGTGCTCTTAACCGCTGAGCCATCTCTCCAGCCCACCACTTCAGCTTCAGGTCTTAAAACTGGATTTTCTCTTTATTGCAGGAATTGGGTCTTACCTCACAGGAAGTCCCCTTTCATTTGATCCATATATGAAAGACATCTGCTGTAGACTTTTACCAGGGGGATTACTGATTGCTCACACCATTTCTCAGAGGAAACTAATGTATTGATAGGCTTGTGTCTCCCAGGGCTCCTGGGAGGGCGAAGGCTGGGGGAGCCCTTTCCCATTCTCCCTACGTAGCATCCATACTGCAGTGGTGCGCAATCAGGGTTAGGTGTTTGTTTTCCCTATCCATCAAGTAAGGACTTTTTTGGGGAAGTTGATGTGTTGTCTCTGGCAAGGCTTACCTTCAGCTAGTAAAGCCACAGAACAATGGAATCAAAATCAGCCTTAAAGACAGGCATGCTGAGAGGTTAGCACACGGCTTGTCTCAGCGGTTAAGAGCACTTGGTGCTCTTGTAGATGATCAAGGTTCCTTTTTGTTTTTAATGTTTTATTTTGTGTGCATTGGTGTTTTGCAGGCATGTATGTCTGTGTGAGGGGGTCAGAAACCATGGAATTGGAGCTATAGGCAGGTGTGAGCTGAACCCAGATTTGGTAGAAAAGCCAGTGCCCTTAACTGCTGAGCCATCTCTCCCGTCCTGATGACAAGGGTTCTAATCCCATCACCCATATAGTGGCAAAAACAGTTGTAACTCCATTTAAAAAAAAAAAAAAGCCAGGCATGGTGGTGCATGCCTGTAATCCTAGCACTTGGGGAGGCAGAGGCAGGAGGATCTCTGTGATTTTGAATCCAGGCCAGCCAGGGATACACAGAGAAGCCCTGACTCGGGGTGGGGGTAGGGGAAAGGAGAGTATGCTCTTAGAAAGACTTGCTCTTTTTTTATTTTAATTTTCATTTATTTGGTGTGTTTATGGTGGGGTGAGGAGGAGCTGACATGAACATGCCATGGCTCACATATATATGTATGTATGTATATATGTATATGGGACAGATGGAAGTCAAACTCAGGTCCTTAAGCATGGAGGTAAGGGCCTTTACCCACTGACCCATCTGTCATGTTCTTATTCTTTGTAGGAATTCCTTCTTTACAATGTCGGGTACTCGGGCTCTGCCTTTTAGAGTGATTTCAGCTGCCAAATCATCAATAGTAGTCGGTTTTTGTTTTGTTTTTTTTTTCTTCACTGTGTTTCATCAATTGATCCTTTTGTTGTATTCAATTTAATTTAGCTCTCACAACTCTTTATTTATTAAAGATTAAAAGCTAGGTGGTAGTGGCTTACACCTTTAATCCCAGCACTTGGGATGAAAAGCAAGCTGATCTCTTAAGTTTGAGGCTATTCTGGTCTACAGAGTGAGTTCTAGAATAGCCAAGGCTACAGAGAGAAACACTGTCTTGAACCCCCACTCCCCCCAAAATTAAAATATAATTAATCATTTCCTCCCTCCCCCCAACTCCATGCATATTCTCCCACACTCCATTCTAAATTGATGGGCTCTTTTTCTTTGAAACACACACACACACAATACATAAATATATAAATACATGCTTGGTCCATTTAGTGATGATTGGATGTATATGAATTCAGGGCTGACTGAAAAACCAATTAGGAGATTCATCTATAAGAAATACCTCAGAGACTCACCCTGAGAAGCTAATTCTTAGCAGTCATTAATTACCTGTAGTTCTTTGTCTAGGGATGGGATTCCTTCTGAGTTAGCATATCTGTTGATTTTGTCATTGTTCAGCTCTTGTTGAGGTATCAACCATGTAGGTTCCCTGTTATTTCTAGGAGACACAACCTTACACCAGACTTCCTGATTCTCTGGCTTACAGGCTTTCTGCCCTTTCTTCTGCAATGTCCCCCTGAGCCTCAGGTGCAAGAATTGTTGTAGATGTATCCTTTGATATAGTCCGTTGATCTCAATTATGACATTTGTTTTTCTGACTTTGTTATAAAGCGAATCTTTGATAAGGGGTGAAAACTACACTTACCTGTAGGTACAAGCTATAGATTGCAGCTAGGAGTTATGCTCATAAAGTGGAGATAGTAAATTCTCCACTAAGATCCATTACCTCAGTAGCACTGGGTAGCTTGCTAGGTTTCCAGTACCAGAGATAGGATGTGACCTTTTAGTGGACAGGGGGCCTGTGTAGCGGCAATGTAAAGAATCCAGGAAAGGTTGGAAGAGATAGAAGGTAGTAAGCCAGTGCCAGGCTGTGGAGGAGTTCGTGCATTAACAGAGTTCGCAGACAGTCATTTAACTTTTAGCATCCTGATCCCAAGTTAGGGCAAGCCCAATCTTTGTTTCAAGATATCTCCAACTGCATCAACAGCAACCAGGAGCAGCACCCACAGCATTCTTCTTCTTTGGAGCCCCCTCAACACTCTGTCTGGGCTCTGGCATTTATTCCTTCCCAGAATCCTCATCATCTAAACTACTTTCAGCTGGGGAAGAGCCCCTCTTACCGCCCACATGAGGCAGATAGTTAGCTGCCGTGGACAGCCTGAATAAGTCCCATATCCCACATCTGAGATTAAAGCAAAAACATGTTTACGTATCATAAACCAAAAAACAACAAGAACTGGCTACATGGTGGTGCATACCTGTGACTGTAGCACTTGGGAGGCAGAAGCAAGAAGGTGAGAAGTTCAAGGTTATTCTTGGCTACAAAGTGAGAGGCCAGCCTAGACCACATGATGTCAGCTATTGTAGTAATCAGGCAGTAAGTAGTTAGGACAGATGGTAACCCACATCTGAGCACTTAGTGCAGGCCAGGCTTCATTGAAAGTCTTTACTGTATTCTCTTTAAAGCCTTACAAAAGGTCTTTAAGATGTGGTAGTGTCTGTCTGTCTGAATATGTGTTACACGTTTGTGTGCCCAAAGAGGCCAGGAGACAATCAGATCCTCCAGAATTGGAGTTACAGGCAGTTGTGAGCCATCCAGTCTGGGTACTGGGAACAGCTTCTGTGGAAGAGCATTAAGGGCTTTTAACTGCTAGGCATCTCTCAAGCTCCTCCCATTTTAAGAAGGTTTTTATTAGCATATTAACTATGTTAATAATGGGTCCCTTGACATGTATATAATATGTTGTTCATATTTACATGAACCTCATAACCTTCTGGTTTTCCTGTCACTCCCACTAGTCCCCTTCCTCTTCTCAATTTGTCTTCCTTTTGTGTGTGTGTCTGTTATTTTGTTTTGTTTTGTTTTTTTCTAGCCCTATGAGTTTAATTAGGTTACTTACCTGAACATGGGTGAGGGGTTATTTACAGGCACGTAGACAGTGTGGAAGTGACCACACCACTGAAGAAAGTGCCATCTACCTGTGGATCCACAGGGAGGAGTGGACCTTGTTAGCTCCTCCCCTGTAGCAACTGTTAACTGTCTGTAATTCCTCATGGAGGCTCAAGGGGAGGCCCCTCCCCCATCCAATAGAGAATGTTGATGCCAAGACTTGAAGGTAATACCAGCTGCTTGAGAGTTCAGGAGTGCAACTGGCATATGTTCCAGAACACTCCATCCTTTCTATGTCTTACATTCTTTCATCCTTCTCCAATTCACTATACTCTGAGCCTTGGAGGGAGTGATACAGATGTCCCATTAGGGCTGAACATTCAAGAACCACTTGTCTTTAATACTTTGACCAGCTATTAGCTTTTGTAGTGAAGGCTCACTGCAAAAAGCAGCTTTTCTAACCAAAGATGACAGCAGCACCAAGCTTAGGGGTGTAAGCATAAATAATTTAGAAGGCAGTTTGACAGACATATCATGCCTGTGTGACAAAGCAATAACAGTAGCTTCCTCACTAGGGCCTTTTCCAGCCACAGGCTTTCTTTTGATTGGGTTCATAGGAGTAGGTGTGAATTCCCTCCTGTGTGGTGGGCTTCAAGTCCCATCAGAAAGTGTGGGTTACCCCTGTAACTGTCATGCCACTGTTGCACCAATGGCACATCTCATAGCTAATTGGTAGTGTGGCACCTTCTAGTGTTTTCTTAGTTGAATATACACAAAACCAGGAAGAAGGTTTCCCCAGGCCAAGGTTACACTGCACCAGGGAGGGACAAGGCCAAGATGTGAGTCTGGTCTTGTAAACTACTACTAGTACTACTACTTTTCTTCTCCTCTTCTTCTTGCTTCATTGTCTTCTGCTTCTTTTGCTTCTTTCTTTTCTTTATTTGAATTTTAATAAAATTTATTTTTTCCTCTCTTTTCTATTTTTTTTATTGAAAATAGATTTTTTTTTTTCTGTGCAATATGCTTTGATTATGGTTTCCCTTTTTGTAAGTGTTACAGCTGTGAGGGAAAAGGTCTTCCCAATGCAGTTGCTGTGGCTCTGAAGCTAAAGGTATCCTGGAAGTCAGGAGCCAAGGAATACCACAGTCTCCACACAACAAACCTCACAGATTTATTGGGAAAGACACAGGAGGGTGGCTGCCTCTGCTTGGGTGGGCAAGTAGCAGCAAAGAACTAAATGGAAGGCAGACTTTATAGGAAGGCAGACTTTATATTAGGTTTCTGGGGGGTTAAAGGGACAGAGCTTTCCAGGGTGGGGATTGGTGGAATTTCAAGTTTTGAGCTTGGGTGGGCTCAGGGTTTGCTGGATTTTCAAAACATGGAAGTGAACCTAGACTATTTCCCCTTCAATCCTCCCAACTCCCCTCCCATCCCACACTCTTCCTATCTTGTTAGAAAGCAAACAGGCATCTAAAGAATAGTAATAAGATAAAATAGGCCAGGCATGGTGGTAAATGCCTTTAATCCCAGCAGAGGCAGGTGGATGGATCTCTGTTCAAGGCCAGCTTGATCTACAAAGTGAGTCTAGGACAGCCAGGGCTCAAAATCCTGTCTGAAAAAGCAAAAACAAAAAACAAAAAAAGATAACAAACCAGAACAAGAGAAAACAAACATGCAGAAGAAAAAGAACCAATGAAAAAGCACAAGAAAAGCACACAGTTTTATTGAAACAAAACTGGAAGCCATAATATAAAATGTAAAGGTTCTGTAAGGTACAAAAGTAAAAATAATGGATAAAATAAAAACTTAATAAATTAAAAAATGTCCTGATTAAATGTTATGAGCAAAGAATCTCTAAAATGCTGGTGAGTTCATTTTCTGTTGTTGGACATGGACTCCGTTCTTAAGAGTGGTTTGATTACCCAGTGAGACTATTGAAAAAAACTAATTTTTAATTTGCAAGTTGTTAACGATTAGGGATGGGGGCATGAGTTCACTTCTTTCAGTTCTGGGACTCCCTCTGGCACTTTCCTCTGGAAGCCCTGTGCATACTGCCGTAGTCTTAGAGTGTGACAACAGTGTGTCAATCCTGTTGGGTCTGGAAGACATGGTTTCCTTGGTGGCATCCATCCCCTCTGGCTCTTACAGTCTTTTGTTGCCTTTTCTGCAAAATTCCCTGAGCCCTGAGGGGAGAGATTTGATGGGGACATCCTACTTAGGACGGAGTGTTCCAAGGTTTTTCACTCGCCACATTGTCCATTTGTGGGCCTCTGTTTTTATTCCAGTCTGCTGTATGAGGAAGCTTCTATGATGATGGCTGGGCAAGGCACCAATCTATAAGTATAGCAGAATGTCATTAGAAGTCATTTTCTTGCTATGTTCTTCTAGCAGAACAGTAGTATTTGGTTTTCCCCCTGGCATGTCTAGTCTCAGCCTCTTGGCCACCCGAACAGTGTCAGGAATAGGTTCCATCTCATGGAATAGACCTTAAAGTTAGTCAGATTACTCCACAACTTCTGTGCCGCTATTACAACCGTGCATCTTGCTGGCAGGTCATCAATGTAGATAAAAGGGTTTGTAGCTGGGTTGGTGTTTACCATTCTCCTTTGGCATTGTGCAGAGTATCTTCCAGTACCATGAACACTAGTTAGTTCTAGGGGTAAAGGCTCTAGGTAGGCAGCAGCTCAAGTTTTCTGTCAGTGTTCAATTTGCTGTGTAGGTGTTAGTCTTAAGCAATAGTGCTTTACCATCAGTTTATGGAGAGCAATTGATAACCTTGGCAAAGCTGGAAATTCCTAGTACTTGGAGACAGAGGCGCCCAGTCTGGTCTACAAAGTGAGTCCAGGACAACCAAGGCTACACACAGAGAAACCCTGTCTCTAAAAACAAAAAATTTTGGCAGTAGCCTAGATTGTTTGGGGGTACTCATGGGATCCCACTGGTAAACAACTTGGTTAGATGTAAGCCATTCCCAGTACTGGACGCTTTGTTTCTTGATGAGATATCCGGAGGGCGCTCCTCCCATTACTTGATTTAATTTAGATTGCACACATACACACGAACGCACGTACATATAAATACACATAAAGTATATTAGGAAGCTTCTGCGCTGTTAGGTTTCCAGATGACTCCAGAAGAGATAATTCTAATCAGCTTTTCAGCACAGATCACAGGAACCATCTCCAATGGCCTGACCTCTCTTTGATTTGAGAGGCAAGCAGGGTTTTGCAGAACAGGAAATCAAAGCTCAAAAGACTGCTGAGAAATGGGCTAGCCAGTAATGGCAGATATCCATTTGCCTTTGGGCTAGTTCTCTCGCCCACACCCAAATACGAGGCTGTAGTCTGGACTGCTGAGCTGGACCTTCCCATTACTGACTGCTCCTCTCCACAGGTGCTGGTCTCTGGAACCCGGGTGGCCACATGGAGGCCCCGGCGTCCCAGCCGGTGAAGCAGGAGAACCTGGCCGTGGAGACCCTGATGCTTGACTCTCCGTGGCACCGCTTCCGCCACTTCCATCTGGGTGACGCGGCAGGGCCACGTGAGGCCCTAGGGCTGCTCCGTGCCCTGTGCCGGGACTGGCTGCAGCCAGAAGTACACACGAAGGAGCAGATGCTGGAGCTGCTGGTGCTGGAGCAGTTCCTGAGTGCCCTCCCCGCAGACACCCAAGCTTGGGTGTGCAGCCGCCGGCCCCAGAGCGGAGAGGAGGCTGTGGCACTGCTGGAGGAGCTCTGGGTGAGCAGGAGGCAGTGGTGGCTATGGGAAGGGCTTCACTGGACTAAGCTTCTCAGCATGAGGCTGCACATCACACATAAACAAAAGCACCCTGAAAATGAAAGTGTGGTCTGTGGCTGGGGCCAGTGTGGCTCTTCTGAAGGTGCAAGGGTGCCTCTCCAATGTTACCTGCATCAGGGATCCACAGTTCCTCCCTCAAGAAATAGTTTGTTGGAAGGCCTAGCTGAAGCCTGCCTTGCCTAAGGTTCCCATTAATGCAGAGAAGGACACCAACTAAAGGAAGCCTCAGGAGGCAGCATGGGATATCCTCTACTGAAGATGCTCCAGGGCCAACTTGTCTTACCTACAAGCAGGGAGCCCTCACTGGTGTGGTAGGGCATACCTGTAAAAGACACTCAGGCAGAAGGGTCATGGCGAGTCAAGGCCAGTCTGTAATAAGACAAGACCCCTCTTTAAAAAGAAACAAAGCCCCGAAAACAACACAGAAAGCAAGGGGGTGGTGCCAATGAGGACAGGAGGATTTTTCCTAGACCTCAAGCTTGGCAGCATGGCTTCCCCATGTGGCTGATCTGTCACCAGCCTCTCCAGAGCTTGCCTGTTCTTGCATGGTTCAACCCTCCCCCTTCCCACACACACCTCAGATCAGTTACATGCTTTTTTTGGTCTGATTCGGGGCCCAAGCAGAGACCCTCTTCCCAGGTATGACGTTTTAATGTTCATATATGACTTCCTAGAAGCCAGAACAACAGCCAGCCTTCTGTTGGATCATTAATTTTTTTTTTCTTATGACATTTGTATGTTGTTAGTGGTGGGTGAGGATCATGTACATAACACTTTGCATGTGTGGAGGTCAGAGGGCAACTGCAGGAGTTGGTTCTTCCCTTCTGTCATGGGACTTACCAAGCTTGGCAACAAACACCTTTATCTGCTAAGCCATCTCTGTGGTCCACCCTGTTTCTTTTAGCTAAGGATGGTAAAAGTAGTTGCTTTTAATGTATATATGTAGCATAATAAAAATAAAATAATAACAATCTAAATCCCTTAAAGACATGTGTGGTAATGCACACTTGTAATTATTGGGAATTAAGTTGGGAGGGCTTTGAATTTGAGGCCAGCCTGGGCTACAGAGTAAGACCATGTCTAAAAAGAAAACTTTTATTGGCTAGGTGGTAGGGTCCTCATGATCCAGAAAATCTCCAAGCATGGAAGTCAATGAGCTCTCTGGGTCTAATGACTCTTTTCAGCTTCTTGGGCCCTTGTAGTTTGGGCTAGTTTAAGGAAATGCCTTCCAGGGATAGCCATGGTGCTTATATTACCTGCTGTGATAAAATACTGGCAAAGCAACTTAAGGGAGAATGTTTCTTTATACTCACAATTAAGGGTTCAGTCTGTCATGGTAGAGGAGTCATGGCATTAGGAGCTAGAGGCATCTCATCAGTGACCTGGTGAGGAGGCACAGAGCAGTGAACACTACTGCTCAGCTCTTCTTAATTTTATTTTATCTGTTTTTCAAGACAGGGTTTCTCCCTGTAGCACTGGCTGTCCTGGAACTTGATCAGTAGACTGGGCTGGCCTCAAACTCAAGAGATCCACCTGCCTCTGCCTCCCGAGTGCTAGGACTAAAAGCGCGCACTGCCACACTTGGTTCTCAGCTCAGGGACCCTGCCCATAGAGGACGCACAGTTAGGGTGCATCTTCCCCCACAAAGGCATGCTCCTTCCTAGGTTGGAAGGATGCTGTTCCTGCTAAGGTGACAGTATAAACTATCACAGTACATGTATTGCTCTTCAGTGGTGTGTATGGTCCAAACTGCATTGTAGTCTCAGTCCTCCTTAGGTAGGAGCCTTGTCCTGTTCATTCATGTGCCCTTGGTTGGAACAGCCCCTGGCATTAGTGAGTGCTAAGTAAATGCTTGTTTTGGCAGTAATGAGGAACACTGCCCTGCCTTGAAGTTTCACACCAGAAAGCCAGAGTGTATTCTTGGTCACTTCTCTTGAGACAGAATCTGATCTGCTCTGCATTCCATAGAATAACCTGCCAATAGTCATCCAGCCTGTGGTTGCACTATACAAGTAGCCATGAGACTGTTTGAGATCCTGGGAGCAAGGTGTCTGCCAGCCCAAGAAACCTAAGTGAAGGCTGGTGGTTGGGCTACGAAACTAGGGAGAGGCAACTCCAGCCAGTGCCTGTGGTTAACACCACAGGAAATGCCAAACCAGTCTCAGATCAGAAATGAGGCAAGTCTTAGAGCCCAAGAGGCAGCTGGGAGCATGGAAAGTTAGCACAAAATACTGGGTATATGATGACAAGAGAAGAAATTAATAAAAGAAATAATCTAAGGCATGTTAATTGATAGAGCTCCAAATTAAACCTTTGAAAAGCATTAGGTGGTAGTACCACAAACCTATAGCAAGTTGCCCAGGAACAAAAGGAGAGAACAAAAGGAAAGATAAGATAGGCACCAGAGGCAAACAAAACAAAAAACCCAAAGCAGTAATGGGCGGTGAGTAGATGAGAGCTGCTGAAGCTGGGGCAACTTGCATATATTTGAAACCTAGAGAGAGTAGACTTGGGGGGGGGGGTGAAATTCAAATTTCCAAAGTAGTCTCATGAAGAAGCAACAAGCCTGAATCCTGAAAACCAGAAGGCAGAGGGATCAAAACAGTGACTGAAGACCTTGCACAAAAGAGGCACCAGGTCCCAGCAATTTTATGTGTTGAAGTGCTGCCAAATCTCTGAGGAAAGGATCATTCTAAAATGTTTTTACAAACTAATTAGGGTATGAAGTGGGGTGGTACCCAGCTCATTTTGCTAGGTTGCCAACGCCCTGCCCCCACCACCCCACAATCTAACCAAGCCATTTCAAGGACAGCCAGAAAAAGCAAGCCTAGCCTATATAAAGGAGAGTCAATCCAACAATCTCAAATAGAGTGTTGTTTGCTTGAATCCAGCCAAGGATTGATGTGTTGTAGCAGATGGGCTTTACACAGATGCAAAGAATTTTATCAGTGCAGGAAATTTACCAATGAAGTGTAAAAGACTGGAGACAACCTATCATTCAAGGCTGAGGCCATCCTCAAGTGGAGGCAGGTGGAATTGGGGGACTTAGCAAAAGCCAACATCATCACAGAAACAAGCAGTAGGCTTGGTGGTACATGCCTTTAATCCCAGCACTCAGGAGGCAGAGGTAGAGGCTGGCCTTGTAGTAAGTTCAGAGATGACTCTCACTGTACAGCTGGGAGCTGCCTGAGTAACTCTGACTCTCAGCCCACCAGCATGGAGTGACCACACAGGCATATGGCTTCAGGATCCACATTGCTTCCTGGGAAGGCTAGAAATGTTTCCATACGATTTTTGACCAGCAGGTGGAATTATGTGTATGGCCACTCACCCCTGCCTCTCCTGTGTGACCTAGGTCACCCTCCAGGCAGTGGTCCAGTGCATTTAAAACAGGATGTGAGGAGTGCAACTCCTGCATGTACACACAACTTCGTGTGTAACTGCTGCATCACTTCCTGGGAGCATGAAGTTAGGAATCTACCATGTACTCTGGTTCTTAAGTTCATGCTTTTCTCAGTTAAAGGTTGCTTAAAGTTTTCATTTTACCCAAAGGCCAGCGGTTCAAGTAAGATTTTAAAACAGATGTAAGTGTTACCTGTTGCTTCATTAAAAAAATGGCCCCAAAGTCATGAATTTCTTGTGGGTCAGAGGGTGGGAATGACTTGGGAAAGTGGATCTGGCTCAGTGTCTCTTAAGAGGCCACACGGTCAGTGTCTCTTAATTGGCCAGGATTGTCACCACTTGAAGGCTGACCTGAGGCTGAGGACCCATTTTCAAATAACTTGCTTATACTGATTGATGGGAGACCATGCTTGAGCAGCAGCCAGCTTTCCCTGAAGCATGCAGCGAGCCAGCTCAGTGGATGCGGGTTCTTGTCACATGGTGGAAGGAGAGGGCCAATTTTCAAAAGTTGTTCTCTGACCTCCATATATACAACTCTACCCCCGCCCCTCCCCCCCCCCACACACACTGAAAGGGTGGCTGCTCTTTGATTAAGAGCTCTTGCTGTTCCTGAAGAGGACTGGAATTTGGTTCCCAATGCCCATGTCAGGAGTTTCACAAGTTCCTGCAACTTTAGCTCCATTGGATCAGCTGCTCTCATCTTCTGGCTTCAACATGCATATGTACCTGTACACTGCCCCCCTCCCAACACACATAGAAATAAATATTAAAAAAAAAAAAAGTCAGGCAGTGGTGACACATGCCTTTAATCCCAGCACTCAGGAGGTAGAGGCAGGTGAACCTCTGAGTTTGAGGCCAGCCTGGACTATAGAGCAAATTTCAGGACAGCCAGGGCTATGCAGAGAAATCCTGTCTCAAAAAACAAAAACAAACAAATGGAAAAAAAAAAAAAAGCAGGCAATAGGTTTTGAGAACTGTGGGTAAGGTGTGGAGGGGAAAAAGGTAAATACAGACTACTATAATTTCTCAATTTGGCATATGCTATCTCTCATTTCAGGGCCCAGCAACCTCCTCAGATCGGTCGTCAGCAATGAGGACACCTCGGAATACAACAGAAGGCTCAGGGGTCGTTGCTGGAAAAGAAGAAAGTGGGGTGATTCCCTTAGGTAAGCAGCTGTCTCCTTTCCCCACTTTTTTGGTTTTGGTTTTTCGAGACAGGGTTTCTCTGTGTAATAGCTGTGGCTGTCCTGGACTCTAGACTAGGCTGTCCTTGAACTCACGAAGATCCGTCTGCCTTTGCCTCTGGAGTGCTGGGATAGAAGCATGTGTCTCCATGCCAGGCTCCCACTTCTTTCCTGATGACCTCAGCATCAGGAGTCCTGTCTTCCAGGCTAAGGCAGACTCAGACCTGGCTTCTTTACTTGCTCAGTGAATGCTGTAGGCCCTTGAGGAGCCCGTGGAGATGGGCTCAGATGCTTGCTGTCTCTCAGCCCATGGAAACCCTATAGAAACATCTAAAGACATGCAGTCTTTGGAGCTACGGCCTCCCTGCATAGCCCAGGCTGGCACAGTCTGCTTCCTCAGCCTCCTGAGTGCTGAGATTACAGGCATGCCAGCATGCCAGTGAGAACATGTAGGTGCAAGGTTCTAAAACACTCACCCAAGGTGGGTGCTGTTAAACCAGGATGGGGTCCAGACAACCTGCCTTGGAGCCTCTGCACTCCAACATGTAGGTCCCTTTCAGACTGGCTCCAACGTTCTTCCCCTCCCAGGTGCTGTGGTGGTGTTCTATGTCATGTGCCCGCCTCCAAGCCGGGCATGGGACCGGTGAAGTGATTCCATGTATCTCTAGACAGTGGGGCAGATGCCAGATATCCACGAACATACCAAATAGCTGCTGAGGGTGGGGATGAGGCAGCAAGGGGAGAAAAGTGGGCATTTCCAGGCAGAAAAGGATGCCAAGTTCGTGATGTAAAACTATCAGAACAAAGGTTGTGGGTGTCCCTGGGGCTCCACAGAGCAGGTGAAAACCTAGACAAAGGGGTCATATAAGTTCATCTGTCACCCAGCTTACCTGCCCCTATCCATTTGCTTGTTCCATTCGGACACCTTTGTAATGTCCCTTCTCTACCACCTGGTTTCTCCATCTATCACCTTTGTTCATAAATCCTCACCTATGTGTCTATCGGTCCACTCCTCCAGCACTCCTCCTCCTCCCACTTATGGTCTTGTTACATCCTACTCCTTGTCCAGTCAGCCACCTATTAACTTAGTATTTATTTATCAGGAAGTGGCCAGCTCCTTGCTAGGAGGCACAGAGGTAGGAAACTTGGACTCCAGGCCACCTCCCTGCCCCAAATTGTGCTACTCACCAGTGCAGTCACAGCCCTGACCCTGTTCTTTTCTGGCAGGAACGGGGGCCTCCGGAACAGAGGTGGCTGCAACGGGGAACGCCGGGACCACGCGCCCCTACAAGCAGGAGCCTGGCAGTCCCCCTCCACCTCCACCGGTACCCGTCATCCCTGCCTTTCTGGCGGCCCCAGGCACCGTGTCGTGCCCAGAGTGCGGCAAGTCTCCCCTTAAACCGGCTCACCTGCTGCGCCACCGGCAGAGCCACTCTGGTGAGAAGCCCCACGCGTGCCCGGAGTGTGGCAAAGCATTCCGGCGCAAGGAGCACCTGCGGCGCCACCGTGGCACGCACCCTGGCAGCCTGGGGCCTGCACTGCGCCCCCTGCCGGCACGTGAGAAGCCGCATGCATGCTGCGAGTGCGGCAAGACCTTCTACTGGCGCGAGCACCTGGTGCGCCACCGCAAGACGCACTCTGGCGCGCGGCCCTTCGCTTGCTGGGAGTGCGGCAAGGGCTTTGGGCGGCGCGAGCATGTGCTCCGCCACCAGCGCATCCATGGCCGGGCGGCTGCGGTGGCGCAAGGGACCTCAGCACCGGGTCCAGAGGGTGGTGGTGCCTTCCCGCCCTGGACCCTGGGATAGCTGTGGTTCCAGACACCTGCTGCAGGGCATCATCCCCTTAGAACCCCCCACCCCATTGCCTTTTCCTTACCCAACGGTTGCCTTCCCATTCGGGCCCTGTGTTACTCCTTCCTCCCTTCCGAAGCTATCAGCGTTCCCCCCCCCCCCCCCCCCCCGGGAAAGATTCTTCTCTCCCTCACTCATTCCACCCCCTTTTCGTGAAGTGGAGACCTGCCCCTTTTCATGTGGGAAAAGGAGATCAGGAAAGGAACAAAGCCCCTGCTTCCCCCCTCCCCCCAAGGAAGGCGATCTTGATCTTGGTCCCTAGAACAGAGTTGGGGCCAAAGGAGAGGGAGGCCCAGACCCGGATCTGGTTCTCTCCACAGCCCAGAGGAGTGAAGTGGGCAGAGGTGCCCGAGAAGCTCATCACAGGTGGCAGGTCAACAGCATCTGAGAGAGTAATAAAGTGACTGACTCTGTGTACAGGAGTCTGCAACTTTCCTGTGTTGTGGCATCTGAAGCACAGGAGACTTGGATTGGCTCCACCTCACTTTCACATTGCAGAAACACGGACTAGACTGATGGAAAGTCTAGTACCAGACATACTCCCATTGGGATTGTCCTAGCTGTGTAGCTTCAAGCAGGTGGTACCCTTTTGGAGCAATAGTTACAACTTTTCAAGTCATAGTGCTTGTGATGTCACTCACCATCCTTGCTGAGTTATTAAGTTAGGTGACTGGGGGACCCCTAGATAACCAGTGCCAGCAGGTTTGGGCAGCACATTTTGCTGAGGAGACTATAGTGGCCTTGGGAGGGCGAGGATTGCCCCTTGTCCTCAATTCTTCATTGACAGTCCAGGAGTCTAGCCCTGACCTCTCCAGGAAGGAAGCACGTGGAGCGGGCTGTGTGGCTTGGGAAGAAGTGGGACAGTCCTTGGACTGGCCCTGCTGGGGTCTCTGGGCACCTGCCTTGAACCCCTGGACCCTGTTTCCTCACCAGAATGCAGTATAATTGCTGCACAATGTGTGGAGGGGAGCATGGGGGGGTGGAAGGTCCTCAATACCCATCCTAGTTACTGTTTTGTTTTGAGATAGGATCTTGCTGGAGCAGTCCAAGCTGACCTTGAACTCACTATGTAGCCAGAGTGACCACAGATTTTCTGATTCTTCTGTCTCTAGCTCTGGGATCATAGGTGTGCACTATGATGCCGGGAGTCTTTAAAGGCATGTGCCATCATGCCCAAGTTTTATTCTTTTTGTTTTCTCTTGTTTGTTTGTTTTGAGACAAACTTGCTACATGGATTGGGATGGCCTCAAACTTAGAGATCCACCCATCTCTGCCTCCTGAGTGTTGATATTGAAGGTGTGTGCCACCATGCCCCGTCCTTATTCTTAATACATACATGGGACCTTCCCTGGAGTACATACCAAAAGAAGGGTCAAGACAGAGTGCAACTATACTTTTTAGAAAAAGAATAATGTGTGAATAAATGGCAGCATGTGGGTGGGGTTGAGGCTCTGGCAGAAATGGGTTCACTAGGAAATATGCTTAGGCAGGTAATGTGATAGGAAACTAGGGCTGTCTGTCTTTGAAGCAATGATGCCCTCTGGTGGTAATGGCTGTTTCTAGAAGATGGCATTGTCTGCGAGTTTCTACAGCTCGCAAGTAGGAAAGAATGGGGGACAGCCCTTTTTGCAAAGAGAATTTTCACAGGCACTTCAAGGAGCTGGATAAGCACATGAACTCTCCTTCACACCTCCTGTAGTCCTGATTGTGGTGCTCCATCCACACCCCTAAACCCCCTGTCAATTATGCTGCTGCTACCCCCTGACCCAGTTGTGGCAGATGAGTAGAAGACTGTCATAGTTGGGTTGTCCAACATTTTACAGATACTCAGTTTCAGAGACTCACAAAGGTGTAGACACACATGTAGGTGCCACCAGCATCTTTGACAATGCTGCCAAGCCCAAGTGCCCACCCTAGCATAGCTAATGAACCCTAGTTCTGAAAATTCAGGGTCCACACCTGTGCAGTATCTTTCATGGCAGCACTTTCGCTTGGTGTTGAGAGGTTAGCTTTGCTGGGAAGTGGGGTAGGCTGGAGAAGTTACGTCATTGGCTGCAGGCTGTCAAGTGACTACAAGGAGCATGGAGCAGTGGGAAGGTCTGAGTGTCATGAAAACTGGGAGTTTCATTTGCAATAACAGGAAACACATGGTGAAAACCCTGTGCTAGGCTGAAACAATTCAGAAAGTACAAAACTTGCTCTATAAACACAGGACCTGAGTCAGTTCAGCAGCACCTATAGTGTTGCACTGGTGTAAAAACAGACCCATTGCTCAGTGAAATAGAATTGAGAACCAACACTCCTACCGCCACTGGGTTTTGACCAAGAGGCCAATAATATACACTACAGAAAAGACAGCATCTCCGACAAATAGTGCTGGTCACACTGGATACTTGCATATAGAAGAGTGAACATAGACCTTGCATAAAATGCACCTCCAAATAAGTCAAGGACCTTAACATAAGACCAGATACTCTGAGTCTAACAGAAGAGAAAGGGAATAGGGTTGAACTCACTGTCCCTGGAAAGACTTTCTGAACAGAACACTGATAAACACAGGCACCAAAACAAATGATTAATAAATAAGACCTCATGAAGCTGAAAACTTCTGTGCAGCAAAGGACACCATCATTTCACCAAAGTTGACAGTATGGGAAAAGAAATCTTTACCAGCTACAAATCTTACACAGAGGTTGTGCCTATAATATATAAAGAACTAAAGAAATTAAACATAATGGAAACAACCCAATTTTAAAAGTGAGGCATGGAAACAAAGTTCCCCAAAGATTAAACACAAATTCCTAACATTTTTTAATTATTTATTATTATTATTTTTAAATTTACATTGGTGTTTTGCCTTCATGTATGTCTGTGTGAGACCATCAGATCCCTGGGAACAAGAGTTACTGATAGTTGTGAACTGCCACATAGGTGCTGGGAATTGAACCGGGTCCTCTGGAAGAGCAGTCAGTGCTCTTAACCGCTGAGCCATCTCTCCAGCCCCCTAACAAACATTTTTTAAGTGTTCAGCATCCTTGCCCATCAGTGAAATACAAATTAAAACTACTTTGAGCTGTGCAGTGGTAGCACATACCTTTAATCCCAGCACTTGAGAGGCAGAGGCAGGTGGATCTATGTAAGTTCAAGGCCAGCCTGGTCTACAAATTGAGTCCCAGGACAACCAGGCATACACAGAGAAACCCTGTCTCAAAAAACCAAGCAAACAAGTAAAGAAATAACAAAGGCTGGTATTAGTGTGGGGGAAGGTGGACAGTTACTCATTTGCTGGTGGGACTACAAACTTGTGCAGCCACTGTGGAAATTAGTGTGATGGTTTCTAAAACAAACAAAAATTGAAAATAGCTCTAGCTACAGCACTCTTGGGCACATACCCAAAAGACTATACTGTCATAGAGACACTTGCTTATCCATGTTTATTGCTGCTCTGTTTATGGCCAGAAGGTGGAAACTGCCTAGATGTCTATCAGTGAATGAATGGATAATGAAAATACATATTTACACAATGGGCTATTATTCAGCCAAAATTCACAGATACATGGATGGAGCTGAAAACAATCATTCCAAGTGAGGTAACCTGGACCCAGAAAAGTAAACATCACACATTTTCTCTCTCTTGTGGATGTTAGCTTTAAGACTTCACATTCATATATTTCATTTGGAATACCCACTGAGGTTAGGAAAGTCGTGAGGAGTTGGGATAGAGGTAGGGGCTTTCAAGGGAGGGAAGATAGAAAGTGGTCATATAAACCCTTCTTTTAGAAGAGGAAGCCCAGCTCAAGTTGACTTTATCAGTAAAGCATTGGAATGGGTAACTTGAAGAGTAGAGATAGAGGGGCTATGAGATGAAACAGCTAGGCAGGATCACCACTAGGGACCCGCTCTGTGCACATTGTGCTGGTTCAGACATAGCCTGGATATGCCTGAGTTTGGCTTCACCTCCTGGTTACAAAGAGACACAACAGCTCCCGTGGCTGGGACATTCTTTGGGTGAGGAAGAGAGGAAGGTGAGACAGTGAGTGAGGATGTGGAGGTTTAGAAAACACTCGGAAGAACTGTGGAAATGAGGCGACTGAAGAAAAGGCTCAGGGCCTAAGAATGCCTGCTGTTCCTGCAGAGGACCCATGTTCAGTTCCCAGCATCCATATCTGGTTGCTCATAACAGCCTGTAACTCCAGCTCTAGGAAATCTGACATCCCTTTCTGGCTTCTATGGGCACCTGCATACACATGACACATGCTCAAACAGACACAGGCACACATAAATAAAATGAAAATAAACTATTTGGAGAAATAGAATGATTAATGGTGGTGCCTTTGGGCCTCCCTTCTCTTTTCTCTCCCTCTTTCCTTCCCTCTCTCTCTCCCTCCTTGTGGTCTCTAGGTAACCTCCTCGAGGCATCCATCAATAACCCTTTGTCCCCTGTCCTGAGGACATAATCTCTCTAGCTCCCTTCTCTTTCCCAGAAAAGCCATTTACACTCTCTTGTCACTTTCTCCTCCCTAAGAGCCCTCTTCTTTTTACCCCAGATCTGAGGACACATAGAGGAAAGCTTAGGACAGCGTCCTTGCTGCCTCCCCATCCCTCTCCCTGACTACCTTTAGGTGTGGGGGCCAATGTGAAGACAGCACACAGAGAGACAAAAGTGCTCTGTGGTCAGTGTGTGATATGGGTGAATACAAAGCATCTTGGCAGAGAGGAAGACACAGATTTCCCACCATCTCTTAGGGAGCCAAAGGAGAATGGCAGGAGTTAGCTTCCTCCTCAGGTTCTTCCTCTTAAAACTGGTTGCCTTGGAACAAAGAGGGAGAGAAATGAAGAGACCATTAATTAAAAAATAGAAGGAGAGAGATGGATCACACACAATGGCCCCATACAGCTGTTTGTTGAGGTTTAGGAATGATCTGTTTTAAGAAATTATTGATTGGCCAGTGAGATAGCCCAGTGAGAAAGGGTGCTTGCCATCAAGGCAGATGACTTGACTTCAATATCCAGGACTCATATGATAGGACAGAAGTAACTCCTACAAGTTGTTTTTGGACCTCCACACACATGCTATGGCATGTGCCTACCATAAATTAGAGTGATGAAATTTTAGTGTACTTATGTGTATGTATGTTTTTTTGTGTGTGCATGACAAAGTACCTATGCACATGCACAGAGGCCACAAGAGGACAGTGTGTGTCCTTTTTCACCACTTTTCACCTGTTCCTTTAACGCAGCATCTCTCCCAGAACCTGGGACTCATATTTTCTTGGTTAGGCTGGAAGTCACCAAATCCTGGTGATCTACCTGTTTCTGTCTGTCTGCTCCTGCCCCAAATTGGGGCTGGAGTCACAGGGGAGTATAGGGTATCTGGCTTGTTACATGGATGCTGGGATCCAAATTCTGGTGTTTGTGATTGTGCATCAAGCACCCTTTAACCTTTGAGCAAAATAACCTCCCTTATTTTGTTCTTGAGTTGTTTGAGTCAAGGTCTCACTAAAGTCTACACTGGCCTGGAACTCATGATTCTCCAGTCTTAGTTCTCCAAATGCTGAGATTGCAAGTGAGAGCCGTCGATGCCAGGCAGTGGTGGCACACGTCTTTGATCCCACTTGGGAAGCAGAGGCATTCAGATCTCTAAGTGTGAGGACAGCCTGATCTACATTGTGAGACCCTGTCTCAGAAAACACACTGTGTGAGCTTTCAAGCTAAGCCCTAGGAACCATTTTAGGATGAGGTTCATGGAAAAAGAAAGCCACTGAGACAGACAGACAGACACACACACACACACATGAAGAGGGAAGGACAAGGAAAGACCTTGAGCACATAATACAACCCCAAAGAAACACAGGTCAAAATGGGTGTGATAACAGCTATTATAATCGTGGAGGTGAGGCAGGACGATCAAGATTTCAAGGTTATCTTCTGCTAGACCTGGAGTTGAGGCCAGCCTTGGCAACTGATTCCCTGTGTCAAAACAACAGAAACACGAGGGGTCAAGTAAACGTGCTTGATGCCAAGTCTGACTACTGGAGTTCCATCCCTGGGAATCAATCACACAGTTGACGGAGAAAACTAATACAAGTTGCTCTCTCTCTCTCTCTCTCTCTCTCTCTCTCTCTTTCACACACAAACACATGTCAGAGAGAAGATAACAGGCAGTGGGGGAAAGCCGGAAAGCCTTAGATCAAGGAGCTGCCAGGGACAGCTGCATGTTCTCTGCCATAAAGCACCTTTGTCTGACCTCACAGACCAGCTAATAAACACTCAAGTGGATGAGTCTCCTCTCTTCCTCTGTCCTTGCTACCCCGCCCACCCTTGTCTCTCTCCCTAACCTCTTCTCTTTCAACTCCTCATTCTCCTCAGAAGCGTAAAAGCCAGGACCCTGAGAGCTGCTGAGTGCTGTGGAATCCACATAGGTTAGAGCCTGGGCTGGAGGGACTGATGGATGAAAGGGTAAAGAATGTCTTGGAGAGTGAGAAGGATGAGAGGACGGGACAGCAAGAGAGATGAGGCATCAGTGATGGATGAGTGAGAAGTTATTGGCAGAGAGGAGGGGGTGGGTATGGATGAATGCCATGTGATGGGTGATAGTGGGTCTGAGAAACATGGGGAAAGGATGGATAGAGGAAAGAACTGTGTCTTTTACTTGTTTTCTTGATTTTTCCACCTTTTTGTTAACATTATTTACTTATTTGGTGTATGTGTGTGTTCATATATGTCCCATAGCATGACTGTGGATCTCAGAGGACAACTTCTAAGAATCAGTTCTCTCCCTACACATTGTTGCTCCTAGGAATTGAAGTCAGGTCTCATTAGGCTTGGCAGCAAGCTCCTTTTATCTGCTCAGCCATCTTGCTGACCTCTATTTTTTGAGACAGGGTCTCCTGTAGTCCAGGCTGCATAAGAAAAGAATGTCCTTGAACTTCTAATCCTCCTGCTTCCACCTCTGGAGTGTTGGAACTATAAGTGAACACCACCACACCTAGTTCTAGCAACCATCATTCTGTGCTTTCCTGCTCTCAGTATTCTATCAGTCAGCTATCTATACCATAGTTTCCTAATCCAGAGATTCAAATAACCAAAAATTAAAAAATAATCAGGGAAGGCCAGTTGGATGGCTGAGCTGGGAAAGGTGGTTGGAGCTAACACTGATGACCCAGAGTTTGACATCTAGGATCTACAAGGCAGAGAGAGAGAATTGACTCCTGAAATTTGTCCTCTGACCTCCATACACATACTGACATTTTTCTTATGTTTCCTTAAGTACACAATGTTACAGTACTTACAAAAGATTTTATTTTCACTGTGCCAGACAACATTGCCTAGAGGCAATGTAGAGTATACTGGAGAGGTGGTTCGGTGGTTGAGAACAATTGCCATTCTTGCAGAGGATCTGGGCTCTTACTTTACAGCACTCATATCAAGTGGGTCACAATCGATGGTAATTCCATTTCTAGGGGCCATGACACCTGTTTCTAGGGTGGATTTGCATAGGTTCTGTGGAAATATTGTATATTTTATACAAGGGACTGGAAGAATGGCAGTTGTGGGTATCTGTGGGGGAAAAGTCCCTTGGGCACTGAAGACAGTTGTACATACTTAATAGTACATTTTCTCTCAGCCAACTCTCTTGTTTTCTCCCTCATCCCCTACTCCTTTCCTGTTTCCTTTTGAGTGCTGCATGTGTGGAGGTCAGAGGGCAATCTGAGGTGTTGATACTCACCCTTCTCCTTGTTGGGTGCAGGCTCTTTTGTTTACAGCCTTTGAGCTATGAACACAAAAGTAGCTGGCTGTGAGCTTCAGGACACTTTCCTGACTCCAACCTCCATCTTAGTGGGATTGCAGATGCAGGTTCCTTCATCTGGTTTTCATATGGGTTCTGGGATCTGAACCTCAATCTTGCTAGGTGAGTGCTTTGTCTATCCACTGAGTCATCTTACTATTGAGTGTGCTTCCCCAAGTCCCCCACCCTTCTTTCCTCCATTTCTTCTTTCCTTTGTTTAAGATTTATTTTACTTTGTCTTATGTGCATGTGCACCTTGTGTGTTCAGGTGCCTGCAGAGGCCATAAGAAGTTATTAGATGCCCTAGAACTGAAGTTAATGAGCTTGTGAGCCACCTTGTGTAGGTGCTGCTGGGACTGAACCCAAGTCTTCTGCAATAGTAGCAAGTATTTCTATTTGTTTGTTTGTTTCTCAAAACAGGGTTTCTCTTTGTAGCCCTGGCTGTCCTGGAACCTATTCTGTAGACCAGGCTGGCCTCAAACTCTGAGATCCACCTGCCTTTGTCTCTTAGGAGATTAAAGTGGGATCAAGGTGTGTGCCACTACCGCCTGGCAGCAGAAAGTATTCTTAACCACTGAGCCATCTCTCCAGCCTTATCTTTATCTTTTTTTTTTCTATTGGTGTGAGTGCATGTGTGTGTGTGGAGAGACAGAGGAAGAGGGGGAGAGAGAGAGAGAGAGAGAGAGAGAGAGAGAGAGAAGAAGGAGAAGGAGGAGGAGGAGGAGGAGGAGGAGGAGGAGGAGGAGGAGGAGGAGGAGGATATCAGATTCCCTGGAGGTAGAATTACAGCTTGCATGCTGTAATTCCTTGGGTCCTCTGGAAGAGCAGGGAACACTTTTAATTGCTAAGCCATTTCTCCAGGTCTTTCTTTCTTTCTTTCTTTCTTTCTTTCTTTCTTTCTTTCTTTCTTTCTTTCTTTCTTTCTT